GGAAAGAGTTAAGCAACCCCTCTCCCCTGCTGCTCTTTTACTGAACATCTCCCCCCCAAAAAATGTTTTGATTCAGAGCAGCTGTTGTTTAGTTAGCACAGCACATGACTGTATTGTAATGTATGGCCTGACCATTAACTCTCCCAATGAAATCAATGGAGCTTAGAAGTCTTTGGCTGCATCATGTTCATAATGTGAACATTAAAATAACTCAATGATTTTCCGGGAAGTGCTTTAAATTGACAGGGAATCTCACCAGTCATTCCTTTTAAACATTGCCTTTGTTCTCAAAAATATGTGCCTACATTGCTGAACAAGTTAACTAACCTCCCAAATCTGCATCAGTATTAGAAAAGTGACCACTTCATAGTTCACTTACTTAAATTATTTATTATGGTTGCACAGGCAATGCATTTTTTTTCTAAATGGCTACATTAGATTTGTGGCTGGAGCCACAGTAAAGAGAGAAAATCAAGCAGAATGACTCCCCACCTAATGTTTGTGCCAGTGGAAAGTTTGCAGAGGAAACATGGTGGAACAAGAGCTCTGGTGGGGTCATTGTACCTCACCATACCCCCCTGCACCTATGGCTTTTTGCCCACAGAGGTGGTTCTGTGAACCCTGGAAATACCTGAGAAGGGGGTTGGTGGAGAAGTGCACCTCTGTGAGTGTCTCCCCCTCACAAAGCCATAGAATCCAACCCAGAGGTTCATAGCTATAGCAAAAGTATATGTGCCCTAATATATTTTGATCTTTACAGTTTACAGACTGAAGAGAACAATACCTTTCCTTCAAACAGCCATTTTTGTGTCATCCCTCTGACCAGCCTGCAGAAAAACCAAACATTTTCTATTCAGGTCTATGCTGAAAATTACCTAGGAGCAGTTTATTCGGATCCTTTACAAGTTAACCTCACGGAAATAGGTAATGTGCAATCATTCAGAGAGGCTTTTTTTGCAAATACCTGGTATTAGGTGTTTTAATCTAACATAACTAGCTTAATATTACTGAGATCATGACAAAGGAGTGTAGATAGAACTTCTGGAACACTGTTATAGTGTTCTATATTGCTAATTCTATAAAGAGAACTGTTTTGCATGTACAGACATAGATTCTAATCTACATTTTGAGAGCTGCAGTAGTTGAATTATTACAGTGCTTTGTGCAACTCCTGGGAACTGCATGATTAGTGGACAGTCTACATAAGAGAGGATATCCCAATAAGAACATCCCTCACTTTTAGACTATAAACAATCCTGCACCTGGTATAAAATTGGATGGACATTTTGGCACAATCCCCTGTGTGACTATCCTAATCCTAAACTATTTTAGCATTGACACTAACAGATCATTGTGGTCACTGCTGAGCTCAACTAGATTGAACCACCACCTGATCTTTAAGGTTCAGACTGAAAATATCTGGAAGTCAGCTGAGATCAAATATTGCTGTTGTTTGCCACTCAAGATGTACTGTTTTCATTTAGCCATAGCCACTTAAACTGTTTTACCTCTGTTATGCACTGCACCTAGTCTCTGTGGTACAGAATGCTCCAGATCAGCTGGTGGTAGAATGTCCCATCAAGCTGTAGTAAATTTATGGCAGTCCCATAGGGCAGTGATGGTGAACCTTTTAGAGACCGAGTGCCCAAACTGTGACCCAAAACCCACTTATTTATCGCAAAGTGCCAACATGGCAATTTAACCTGAATACTGAGGTTTTACTTTAGAAAAAAAACAAACTCATACATTAACTTAAGCTGATCCAAACAAAGTAAGGAAAGCAATCCCAAATGCTTTCATTTACTTAAAATTATTTGGCAGAGAATTCAACACTTTAATGATGGTCTGGGCCTGGTTGGGGTGATGACATGCGTGCCCACAGAGAGGGCTCTGAGTGCCACCTCTGGCACCCGTGCCATAGGTTCGCCACCACTGCCATAGGGTTTTCAAGGCAAGAGACTAACAGAGTGTTGTAGGGTTGCCGGATCTCACTTTTGCTACAGCGGGGGGGATCCTGGCTCCTCCTCGGGACTTTTCTGCCATGTGTGCAAAGTACTGACATCATCATGCTAGGGCCGTTGTGCAGTGATGCTCTAGCGTTTGAGGCAAAAACTCTATGATAACATAGAGCTCCCCCCAAATGCTAGAGTGTTGCCTTGCAACAGCCCCAGCATGATGACGTCAGTACCGGTGATGGCATTGCATCGGCAGCATCCCCGCAGGATGCTGCTGTTCAGGGGAAGGGATTTTCCCTGCTGGCTAGTTTTCCCTGCTGGCCAGCAGTGGATTGAGGCCCCCAAAATCAGGGGATCCTCTGCCCTGACTGGGGAGATGGCAACCCTAGAGTTTTGGGAGCTGACACCCCGCCCTGACTCAGTCCTGCCCTGATAATTGCCTAAGCATGTCCTGCCAGTATTTTCACTATTGAAGAAATTATTTCCATAACCAGCTACATAGAATACCTATAATATTTCAATATGTATTTTACTTGGAATTATTTTCTTATTGGCAGGAGATAACAAAGTTATGTAAAATGTACCACCTTCTTTTGTTTTTTGTTTTTGTTTACAAAGTACAATTAAACCAGACCCAAATCAAGAATCCAGATTCTTTTTAAAAATCAATTCTAAAACATCAAAAGCTATCTGTTCACAACCATCAACAATCAAAACAGAACAAACTATTCACTAAATTGTCATCTCAAACAAACCTATTATTAGCTATTTGTTACTTTTTAATTCTATCTTTCCTCCAAAACGCTCCCTTCCATTTTCATCCTCACAATCCTGTGAAGTAAGTAAGACAGAGGGCAATTGGCTCAGGGGCACCCCCTAAGGTTCTCGGCTGTGGCGATTTGAACCTTGGCATCCTGTGCCAATACTAAATCCACTACACCAGCTCTAGTTATAATTATATAACTAGGATACTGCATGGTCAATACTATCTGGTTTGACTATGGTATCAATCTTTATGTTTTTTTAAAAAAGTGTTCTTCAGGAGTATAAATATAGAGTGTGTTTTCTTTCAGGAAAATCATCAGTTTAAACAGCATGCCTCACCTGCTTATCTCCAAGTTTAGAAATAACCTTTTTTTGAAAATTTGCTTAAGAGCAAATATTTATCAGGATAGACTATGTCTAATGTATCACATTAAAAAAACACCTAATTCTTGTATCACTTGTAGAGATACCAGTGACACCAACAATAACCCAGGTTGAAACTGTGGACTATCCAGTATTTAAGACTATAATCAAGTGGGAGAAGCGAACTGCACTCAGTAACACCCATTGTGAAGATCGTCACAAGGAGATGACAAGTGAAACTTGGCATGTGAGTTACTCACCCAAGCAAAGGCTGGGAAGTCCTGGTCCCCATTGGGAAGATACACACATAACTGACCTGTTGCTTCTCTCTTTTAGGTTAGAGAATTGGTTGCTGAAAGGGATCATTACACTGAGTACTATTTAGATGCAAACACTAAGTATGAGTTCCAAGTTAGATGCAAGTTAATTCAAGTTGGAAAATTTTGGAGTACATGGAGTGAGCCTGTAACATATATGACTCCAGAAGCTGGTGAGTACCACGGCACTCTTTTCCTCATCCTGTTTACTCAAGTAAAGAGAAGATAGTAATGAAACAATATCAAGCAATTTATGCTGCAATTAGCCCACCCAAGTGAGCTTTTAGATATGTTTCAGCATGACACCATATGTGTACAAAATCACCTTAGTACAAAGGAAGCTGGTCTTATGTTAGCTCAAGAACAGAAGTACTTGATTTTAATCTTTGGCTGTGGTCTTATTTCCTTTGACATCTTCAGCAAAACATAAAAAAGACTCGGGTAGCATGTCTTACCTCACTGGTATTATGAATATCAACACTCTATAGATAAATTCCCACATCAAATATATGCAAAATATTTTTACTGGTTTCGGTTTCGACTGGAACCCAAATTCATAAACTGGGAAGTCAAATTATCATACCCTTTCTGTCCCATTGTAGATAAATCAATATTAACTTTTTCCCTTTCGTTCATGCTGATAATTTGCTCTTAGACATCACACAGCACAAGTATCTAGGGCCCACATACATATTTTTAAAAACGTATTTAACACCTGGCCTTTGTCCCTTAAATAGGCCCAATCAATGTAAAGCAGACAAAAAAAGATCCCCAACATGGACAATCAGAGAAAGACCCTGAAATTCCTGATTGGTACGATATACTAAAATCAATGAATTCCCTCAACAGAGGGAATAAGCAATCAATAAGCAGTTCAAACAATTTGTATTGTTAAGCTAGATGTATTCTCCAATGGCTAGTCCATAAACAGAACCATTTTGTATTGTTATGCATGTTTGGCATCCTCAAAAGTGGGGTGTGGCTGGTTCACACTGCTTTTCTTTTCCATCACTGTGAAGCTGAACTGAGCCTGCAGACAGGTAACATTGTAAGTGGCAGAGGTGTTTTTGATAAAACTTTTCCTGTCCTCTAATTAAATGTACTTTTTCTTATCTCTGATAAACTCAGAGAGAACAGACTCTGCAGTTATTCGGCATGAAACAGCTGGAATTAGGGGAAGCCATCTGTGATGGGGACTTTTGATAGGTTTTAGTAAGGCGAAGAACTTGCTGTGGCCACCAATGCTCCCTCTAAGCTGTGCCGTCTTGTGAGCAAAAATTCTACTTTGCAAGCTACTGCCATTAAAGTTGTCAGCAAGCAGACTTTGTTTGCTCTGGAGCCATCCTTCCTGAGCTCAGACAAAAATGTGTGAGCCAGAGGCTAAAAAACTGTGAGCAAGCTCACACTAACTCAGCTTAGAGGGAACACTGGTGGCCACCCTTAGAATTTTATGTCTGTCTTTATCCTGAGTAAAAGGAAGGGTTTCTGAATCAACAGTTTTCATCATCAGCTAGCAGAGAAAAGGCCCAAACCAAACATCACCTGCTACTCTTCGGGAATCTATATAGCATATGAATGATAATTCTAGTGAAAACACTGAATTGGATCCAAAAGTATTTTCCACAAATGAAGGGTGTTTCTATTTGTGCAAAGGGTTTATGGGTGGGTTCTGTGGATATACTTCCAACTGCAACCATCTGCACTAACACACTCAGTTTCCAAGGATTCTCTTACCCCAAAACGAATTGATTGGAGTTGCAGGAGGTTGCGGTGGAATGGGGAGAAGAGAAAGTCTGTTGTGCTGCTGTGGAACCAACCCTTTTTACTGTCCCAGCACAGACCTCAAATGGACATGATCATTTCCCAGCCTTGGTACAGTCTTAAAATAAGATTTTTAAAACAGCTCCACTCATTAGCTTCAAAAGATTATGTTGGATTTTACAAGACCAAAACTCCAAGTAACCCATGTTACCTTGTAGTTAATTTAAAAATACAAATCAGAAATATCATGATTAGCTTCTTTGTTTTCTTTTTTAAATGCAGAACCATCTTCAGTACTTGATGTGTGGAGATATTTGGGACCAAACTACCCAAATGGTAGCCAAGAGGTAACCATCTTGATCAAGGTAGTACTGTTTTCCTTCCAAGTTTTGCACATTTCAAATTGTGTCTCTGTGTTAAGGATAAAAAAATAGTGATGTTTAAAGATCAGGATGGTCTCATTTTCATGGGTCTAAAATTCAGACATATGAAAGTCGAAATATGAAAGAATTCTTTCTGTTGGAGCCAAAACCAGAAAGAATTCATCCTATGGTTGCCAGTTTGGTGTAGTGATTAAGTGCGCAGACTCTAATCTGGGAGAACCGGGTTTGATTCCCCACTCCTCCACTTGCACCTGGCTGGATGACCTTGGGCAAGCCGTAGTTCTGATAAGAGCTGTTCTTGAAAAAGAGCAGTTTCTGTCAAGAGCTCTCTCAGCCCCACCTACCTCACAGGGTGTCTGTTGTGGGGTGGGGAAGGGAAAGGAGTTTGTAAGCCGCTCTGAGACACCTTTGGGTAGTGAAGGGCAGGGTATAAATCTTTTTTTTTTTCTTCTTCTTCTTCTTCTTCTTCTTCTTCTTCTTCTTCTTCTTCTTCTTCTTCTTCTTCTTCTTCTTCTTCTTCTTCTTCTTCTTCTTCTTCTTCTTCCGCCTCAATTTATTCTTTGCTTTACAAAGTAACAAAAATACAGGATGTTGTATGGGAAACATTGGGCTGGACTCTCAATGGAGGGAGTTTATAGAATCAGTACTTTCCCCACAGTCCCCTGTATCCCCAGAAATAATTTTCCTCAGGATTTGGGGAGCTCCTGGGAACAGACATGGGGGTTTTCCATGTGCTTGACTTACTCTTTATTGTGAGTGTATGTGAGGAATAGAGCACAGTCCCTCTGTTTGTTTTGCATTTGTTTCAGAAGTCATGTGTGTAATAAAATGGATAGTAAAGAGTTAACTAGAACATGATTATGGGATGGAGAAAAACTCCACCCCCTAGACTGCTCTCCTACTTTCATTTTTCTGTGTTAGTCTGAAGAAGTTGGTTGAAATAAAGCAGACTGTTACATTCAGCAACTCCCATGAGTTAAGTGATTTATACTATTGCCCCAGTGAGATTACAAAAGTGTGGGCTTGTAAACTGTTTGTGTTTGGGAAAGGATTCATTGTCTATTTTGCCTGCTTTGTGAGTGTGTGTTCCTTAATAAAATCTTGCTTGGAAATGCTCCCAAAGCCTGGCAAGGGACTTGTGGGGATATGACAAATTACACTTTCATTTAGTGGAAGGGCAGTTGCTGGGGAAACCTTTCAATGCAAAAAAGAGGACGAGGAAATGAAGACTGTATTCAGGGGAACTGCACTGATAGGTTTAGAAGATTCTCTGAATTCTCAGCTTTCATTTTTTTGAAAAGTCTCTAGCCCCGTTCCTCATGGAGATATAAGGAAAAAAAGCAGATCTCTGTGAGGGAAAGGACTAGACTTAGGGTTTGTTTTTTTTAATGAAAGCTGGGAATTCAGAGGACCTGCTTAACCTGAACATCTGGGTTTGTGTGCATCTGTGTCTGTGCACTTATATTGCTAGATCAATATAAGTATTGTATTTTTAAAAAAATATATCAAAAATAAAACCACTTATCTTCAGGGTAGAGGAGAAGGAGAGGGAGTGGTTTGACAACAATGACCATCCAATACTTGAAAGTGGGCTGGAGTTATGTATGAGGAAAAAGCCAATTCAAAATCAGCTTCCAGAAAAAGATTGGAGTAAAAGGGATCTCAACAAAACTTGGAAAAAACTTGGAAAAACAAGCTAACCAAAAAAAGAAGTGAAAACTAAAGGCACAAAAATGTGTGCAGAAATCGGGATAAATCAAGTAGTATGGGGTCAGAACTGACAAAAAAAAATGCAAAAAACCCCCTAAAGATGCAACATAGGGGACTATAGCAAGGCAAACTGGCAGAAATTGTTCCTCCAATTCTTCTGCACACTCTTGCTCCATTCACGGGAGAGCTTATGTAAGAGGAGAAGAGAGATTTTCTCCTCAATCCACATACCTCCAACATGGCATGCCTAACTGTTTTTGAGTGGGCCTGATGAGCAGCTTTTAAAGGGGCTGCAGGAGATAAATATAGAGGGACAGATCCAGTTCATGAATCCTTCTAAGTTCCAATCATAGATCCAACCCACAGAAGCTTATGAAAAGAGAAAAGAACACCTTTTTTGCAGAGTGGGAGGACAGGGGAGAGCTTATGGTAGATAATACCACCCAACATATTGGGTACAATTAGTCACAATTCAGCAGTTTCAAAACATATTAATTTCAAAAGCAAGAATCTAAGTATGGAACTTAAATATACAAATTTGCATTTTGCATTCATTCGATGAAATTATGGTCTACTATAAGCTTCTTTAAATTCAGAATCTTGACAGCAAAGAATGATAGGCTACTGCTTTTATAAACATTGATAGAGTAGTCATCCACTAGTTCCACTGATGGGAATAACATAGGGTTGCCAGACCCCCCGGTTCCATGGGGGTTTCGTGATTGGGGGAGCTCTTTCCTGCCACCAGGAAGCTGGTGGGCAGGGGAAGCCCCATCCCAAGAGTGACCACCTGGCCTCCCCCCCACCTCTTCCCAACGGTGTTTAAAGACATCCTTTAAATGCTGCTGGGGAAAGGCGGGTGTGTGTACTTGCACTCTAAGCCCTGAATATGGGGCTTGGAGTGCAGGCACACACACACACCCCTTCCCAAGAGCATTTAAAGAGACCCTTTAAACACTGCTGGGGAGAGGCGGGGGCCGCCGCTCCCCAATATGATGATGTCACGTCTGTGTGACATCATCACATTGGGGACTCCCCACCCTCTTCAGTAACGCCCTCCAAAGACCCCCACTGGGGACTTTGAGGGGACCTGGCAACCCCATTTATGGAACGAGAGAAAGCATTATCATTAGTGCAAATAACATTAGGAATAATACAGATTCGTTCATTGAAAGTTTATTTATTAATTTAAAATATTCCACTTTTCTCCTGAACCAGGACTGATTGCAGAATGATGTTTCTTTTAGTTTTTTGTGGATGTCAAACAACCTGACCACATGTTAAATGCAAATACATTTTACATGTAATGGCAGCCTGCTGACTTCTTTAAATAATGAAAAACTGTGACTCAGAGCAGACTGAGGAAGGTGCATAGCTTTTAGTTACCCACCATTTCCTTGCCGCCAGTTAGAGGGAGAGAACCCCCGATGTTGCTTTAACTTTGGGGAAATGGATATCCCTGGAATTTGTTCCATATTACTTCTCATAATAAAAATTAGACAAACCAATTCAACATTATAACCTTTTGAATAATTATAATATATACCAATAATTTCAGAATAACAGAAACATCCATGAAATACAAGTGATGGGCCCACAAAGAATCATGGATAACAGTATCAATTTGAAAATCCCATCCTACCTCCTTAACTCCCCTTCCAGGAATCTATAAGCTCTTTGTTGTTGTCGTTGCTGTTCAGTCACACAGTAAGTCCGACTCTTGGTGACCCCATGGACCACATCACGCCGTCGTCCTCCAGAGTTTGCTTAATTTCATTTTCATTGCATCGATAACACTGTCTAACCATCTCATTCTTTGCCATCCCCTTCTTCTTTACCTTCAATCTTTCCCAGCATCAGGGTCTTCTCCAGTGAGTGCTCCATTCCCAGTGGCCAAAGTATTTGAGCTTCAGCTTCAGTATCTGGCCTTCCAGGGAGCAGTCAGGGTTGATTTCCTTTAGGACTGACTGATTTGATCTCCTTGCAGTCCAAGGGACTCTCAAGAATCTTCTCCAGCACCATATTTTGAAAGCATCTATTCTTTGGCGCTTGGCCTTCCTTATAGTCCAACTCTTGCAGCCATACATTACTACTGGGAATACCGTTCCTTTGACCATATGGAATTTTGTTGGCAGGGTGATGTTTCTACTTTTTATTATGCTGTCTAGGTTTGCCATAGCTTTCCTCCAAAGGAGCAGGCGTCTTTTAATTTCATGGCTGCAGTCACCGTCTGTAGTGATCTTGGATCCCAGGAATGTGAAGTTTGTCACTGCTTCCATGATTTTGCCTTCTATTTGCCAAGGAATGATGGGACCGGATGCCATGATTTTAGTTTTTTTGATGTTGAGTTTCAAGCCAACTTTTGCGCTTTCCTCTTTCACTATGAGCAAGAGGCTCTTTAGGTTCTCTTCACTTTTTGCCATTAAAGTGATATCGTCTGCATATCTGAGGTTGCTGATGTTTTTTGCGGCAATCTTAATTCCAGTTTGTGATTCATCCAGGCTGGCATTTTGCATGATGAACTCTGCATATAAATTAAGTAAGCAAGGTGACAATATACATCCATGTCATACTCCTTTTCCTATGCTAAACCAATCAGTTGTTCCATATCTGGTTCTAACTGTCACTTCTTCACCCTTATTCTCAGGAGACATGTGAAGTGGTCTGATACTCCCATCTCTTTAAGGACTTGCCATAGTTTGTTGTGATCCACACAATCAAAAGCTTTAGCTCAGTCAATGAAGCAGAAGCAGATGTTTTTCTGGTACTCCCTTGCTTTCTCCATAATCCAGCGAATGTTGGCAATTTGATCTCTAGTTCCTCTACCTCTTCAAAACCCAGCTTGTACTTCTGGCAGTTATCTATCCACATGCTGCTGAAGCCTAGCTTGTAGGATCTTGCTAGCATGTGAAATGAGTACACTTGTGTGATAGTTTGAACATTCCTTGGCATTGCCCTTCTTTGGGATTGGGATGTAAACTGACCTTTTCCAATCCTGTGGCTACTGTTGCATTTTCCAAATTTGCTGGCATATGGAGTGCAGCACTTTAACAGCATCATCTTTTAAGACTTTGAATAGCTCAACTGGGATACCATATCTCTGCTAGCTTTGTTGTTAGTAATGCCCATTTAACTTCGCACTCCAGGATGTCCGGCTCGAGGCCAGTGATCACACTGTCATGGTTGTCAAGGACATAAGAACATAAGAGAAGCCAATGCTGGATCAGGCCAATGGCCCATCTAGTGCAACACTCTGTCACACAGTGGCCAAA